CGTTATGTTAGCATATTTAATAGATTTTTAAAACATGGGAAACCCTAGAAAAACTGATATTCAATAATGATAAAAATCAATCCACTAAACGTTTCCAAACGTTAAAACACATCGCGATTGACGTTTACAAAGTTGCCATGCGTAAAGATAAAATCAGAGCATATTGAATGTCGCTATTTCATAAACTCATTTATTTTAATATCTATCAATGAAATATTTTCCTTTCCATTTCAAACATTTTTATAAGTAAATATAAAAATCTACATCCAATCTAAATCTACGTTTACATGGATTATTAATGATAATTAACATTTTACAAACTTGAATATGGCAATGTTGAACTGGCATTTGTCTTGATGACATTGACAATTAATTTGTCAATACAGGCGCATTGCTGTTTGTTTCAAATGCGATGTTATGATGTGTTTGTTGAATTTGAAGTTATTTTATTCATTGGTGATACGTTGAGTTTGGCAACCGTTCCTCCGTAGCCCAAATTGGTGTTATTGGCGTCATTGTTGCGACAATTGCGAAAAGACACTTATTTACATTATTTTGTGCATAGTGTGTTGTAATCTGTCGCGATGATGAATTTACAGTGCATTAATTGCATTCAGAGTTTGTCGCACATGAGACGGTATGCTCTAGGAAATGAGAGTAAAGATTAGACGTGGTCAACAATATCCCATTGCGGACTTATCCTAGAGATGTAAGTACCTAGTTTACCCGGATAACATATCGAAAGTCACCATGTTGCCTGAATAAAAGAAGGCGCATAGTGTTATCTACCCATAATGTATCATTTTATTCTAGATCTCTCCTACCAACCATATTTGCAATGCTTGCTGGCAATTGGCAATGTATCGGGATGTTGCTGAAAGTATGTCCAGCAAACAAATTGGTCATCGGCATGTTTGTGTCGTATATGGCTGATTCATTGCAAGGATAAGGTGACGCAGGGTTTTAATTGAAGGCGCCAAAGAACAGGACTAAAGACTGGCTCATATAGTATTTGATTGGATTCAGCCACAAGAGGTAATAAAGCATAATTTAACCATACTATTATCATTTACAGTGTAATCTAAGGTCAATATCATATTCTAATAATATTACTTATTTTAGCTTACTTCCCATGATGAAGATCATGTTCCATACTGACTGAGAGACCATACAAGAGTCGAAACTATAAAACCACAACCTGACATACCACCTCACAGTGTTCACTATCAGGAAGTAATGTGTTATGTAAACATGGACTAAGCCTCATTTTAACATTGCCATTTGTAGAACAGATGAGGCCGGAAGATGTTGTTCGGCTTTCAGTGCTTCAACAAGTATGCATTCTCATTATAATGTACCTACATAATTATGTATCTATGTGGAGTATATAAGCGGTTTATAATAGGTTATACTCATGTTATAATTATAATTTATTAATTAGCATGCTGTTTGAGCTCCTATGATCTGTAATACAAATAATGTGATCTGATATATGAATAACTATAATAAATGTTATAAAATCAATTAATGTAATCAAATATTTATTTTTATCTTTTCCATTTTAAACTGTCAAACACCAAGCGGTCACCGGTGACCGCAACCTATTGTTCTTTAATTGTGTCTATAAATACGGTACTCGACGAGTTAAGGTAGGGAATCAGACATATTATTATAACATATAAAACTAAAGGAAAAAATGTACTTTTGTTTACTTTATTTACAGTTACCTTACTTGTTTACAGCAATTGATGTCTGCTGTACCTATGACACTGCCTGTTCTCTTTTTAGATGAAATAGTCCTAGAAACAACCTGAATACAATGAAATAAAAGAATTTTAAAATAATACATTTGTTTTATTTTAACCTAGTAAGTAACTATAAATTCTATCTTGATAAAAGTGATTTTAAGAATCAATCTATAAAATAAATGCCATATTTAATTTAGATAGCTTTAGTTTTATACCAAAAATGTTCATTTTCATTTTACATTTTCTTTAGTTGTGATGTGGTGGCCTGGAGGTTTAAGAAGCCCGCTTCTCATGCATGAGTGCGGGTTCGAAACCTACCAACAGCAAAGTACCAATGTGTCTTTCTTCCGAGTTATTCGTATATTAAATAATCTAAGAAAGTACAAAGACACCTCTAACGAATTGTGAGGAAACATGGGCTTATAATTTCTTATTATAAGTTTGAATTACCACCCACATTGAGCTAGTATGGTGATTAATGCTCAAACCTTCTCCATGCGAGAAGAGGCTTCGGTCAGCAGTGGCCACTTATAGACTTAATGATGAAAATGTTGATGATTCTACTAATTTGACTTACTTATTAGAAATTAAACCTTACACGCGTGCTAAGCAACCAGTTTTCAGAAGAAATACTTTCTCAAAGAGCTAAGCTTAAGTTTAAATCGAATTAACTTAAAGACTATTTGTATATCAGGCCTCTGCCTCGAATCTTGATTTTATACATTAAATCTTGCGTCTGCCCGCAAGATTCAAGGTGAAGTGAGACATTAGTTTTATCATATCCGCCACAAGACTTCCACTGCTAAATGTAGGCCTTCTACCCAATGACAGTCGCTTACATTATGAATTTGCATTTTCGTAGGCACCTAAGAAATGAAAAGATTGTGAGGCATACTCTTTAAAACTCTATTGGTACATCATGCTTGCTGAATTAACAGGATCATTCCTAATAATACAAAGTAATAGTCAGTAGAGTAGCGAGCAGTATTTAGATTTTGTTTTTTGTAAACAACCACTAGAGAGCACATTGACATTTTTCCGTTAACTGTCATCTGTCATTTGTAATAGATATTTTGCTTAACGGTGGCTCTACACTTGACGTTGCGTATTAGTCGTGTTCGGCCAAAAAAAAACATGTGTGGAGGATTTATTCTTCTTTGTTTGCTCTATATTTGCACGCCATTACATATAGGGAACTATTTGGACGCCATTTATACGTAGTCAACAAATATTTTAACAAATGAAGCGACTACGCAATGTCAAGTGTGGTACCACCTTAACGTACCTTTTGCACATTTTCAAAGTGAAATAACTTTTGAACCCCAAGTTCTAAAAATATGTAATTTTTTTCTAAACTTCATAATAAAAATATCTATCGTTCAGACTATTCGCTTGGTTAAAACAATGACTAATACAAAATTTTATAGCGGTACAAAACTTCCATACAAACCTGCCATTCTCCTTTCTTATTACTATAATCCTACCAGGTATTTATTGTATGCACAATAAAATCTGCTTTTTTGAATAATGTTTTTATTTTGTTTTCATTTACCTTCAGCCAAAATAAGTACTTATAAAGTCCAATATACCTACATATTTTAAGAAGAAATAATAAGTTTATATTAAAACTTTCGTGAGACATACTAAATTATTTATTACTAGCGACCCGCCCCGACTTTGCACGGGTGCAATATGCATGTACATATTATATACATATAAACCTTCCTTAAGAAACACTCTATTTATTAAACTGTCAAATACCAAGCGGTCACCGGTGACCGCGACCTATTGTTCTTTAATTGTGTCTATAAAACCGGTACTCGACGAGTTAAAAACGCAAAATCCGTTGCGTAGTTTTAAAGATCTAAGCGTACATAGGGACAGACAGACGGCGGATAGCGACTTTGTTTTATACTATGTATGTAGTGATGTTTTCGTCTCACTCACGTAAGCGTAACTGTCTGACGCGGAACTCGACTCGTTTCAAGCCATGTTTTTTTTTGAGGGCTATAATCATCCAATGACTTCTCCAGGGAGTGTCCAGAGTCCAGACTCTTGCTGACTAAAAACCTCCGTTCCTACACCTGCTCTTCGAGCCGGAGCCCCAGTAACCCGTTAGGAGTTCCGCGGCTCCGTATCGGGCATCAGCCCTACTGGGCTCCATCTATTTCAAGCCTTGCTAGAGACTAATCTGGATTCCCCCAAGAGGAGTTTGTAAAAGTCAATGCGTCAGCTGCGCAACAGTCCCCGCGTCGCGTGTCCTTGAATGCTGCTAATGAAAATGAGCCTCTACCATGGCTCGAAACTAGTCGAGTTCCTCGTCAAATAAACAGCAAGTAATAAAAACTATTGTAATAAAATCAATAAGTACCCAAAGGTAATCTTATCTAATTACTTCATTAACAGATGAGTAAGTACTTACCTAATTATAATTTCACACTATCTAATGAAAATAAAACACCCTTATTATTATAGATAATTAAGTACATAAATATTTTTCTTAATTACATACATAACTACATGCCTGTCTCCCATGTGGGTAGGCAGAGACTATGGAACGCCAATTGCTACAATTCTTACATGCCTCTTTCGCTTCATCAGCAGTCATCAATCATTTCATGCATGCTCGTCGGTTAAGATTATTATTAATTTGTCCCTTTTTTAATATATCGCCAATCTGGTCGATTAGTCGATACCTTTAGATATAGGTATGACTGTCTCGCGCCATCTACGGACGGCCCCATTTATATACGCTCTGTATACTTCTTCTTAATTATGCTGTATACTTCTTTTTCTTAATTATAACCAAAAAAAAAACAAAATACCCAGGTTATACCCTTCAGGAAATACAGACTCTGGCAAAGAATCCCATTCCTTAGCAGTACGGACAAGGAAGCTTGATGCGAAGCGCTTCGTGCGTGGTTGGGACATCTACCATGAATCGGTGACGCTTTGCCGATTGTCTTGTGGTACGATGATGGAAAGGACTAGGGGGAATCAAGTTGTGCAACATTACTTATTTATTAAACTGTCAAATACCAAGCGGTCACCGGTGACCGCGACCTATTGTTCTTTAATTGTGTCTATAAAACCGGTACTCGACGAGTTAATCAGTAATTCCTGAGATTACCTATTTCAAATAAAAAAATCCGTTAACTTTATACATAAAAAAATAATAAAAGAGAGTAGGTATAAATAAAACACCCAGTTTGATCTACCACTGAAATTGAGAAATAGCAATATTGTGTGCCACTCGGGATCAGGAATCAGACGAAACTCGAGACCGCTTGCTCGACAGTCGCATTTACAACCGCTTCACCGACAAGGTTAATTAAACACAATACCCTTTGTTGATATTTACTTTTATTTAAACAAAAACGTGTCATATCATTATTTAAATGGCTATTTTTATTAATTAGTTATCCTCAAATGATGTGTATTCTGTCTGTACTTCTTATATCGCATTAGTTCGTCCGGGCGATGCGTAGGTACGTTTAGTTATGAGTGCACGCGCGATGATTAAAACGTATCCATAAAATAAACACGTTGTTTATTTAAAAAAATATATATTTTAAATTTTAATGTGGTATCTTAAGGTTTAGTTTACAAGAATTGTGGTGTGGTGTTTATTGTGTGACGTGTATATTTTTATTTTATTTATTTAATTTAAAATTAGAAAGTTAGTGACAATGATTAAAGGTATGTATTTTTTTATTATTATTTTGGTTGTGGTATTTTATTTATTTTAATAATTTATTTTATTCTTCTTAAAGAAATGAATACCAAGAGCCCTAAAATGTCGCAAAAACTATTTCGTTTTTTTTAAGTAAGTAAGGTGTTAAAATTTTTGTAATATTAATAAGCTCATAACATGGTTCTAATAAGTAAAGTAAACTAGTAATTATTGGAATGTTTTCTAATAATAATAAGTAAGTTTCCACAAAGACGAAGCTAGTTGTGTCGCTTTGTATAATTCATGGTTGTATAAAGCTTCGATATTACCTATTTCCAGGTATTTCTTGAGGCTATTTATGCTATTTAACATTTTGAAATATAGTTATTGTATTTTGTATATGACATTTTGTTGTACAGAATTAAAATTAAGTGTTAAAATCATTTAATGTTATTTGAAATGATTATATCATTTAATTTTACTTCTATACTTATTCTTCTAAAAAGGCTTCTATTTCATTAGCTTTAGGATGTGCTTAAGTTAGGATCAAAATTCAAACAATAAAGTCGACAACAAAAAAATCGTAAGTACTACTTTATTTCATTGAAAAAATTATAAACTTCTATAATAATCATACTCACGACTACTTTACGTAATAAAAATATTTGACTACTGAAACTTACTTCTACGTACTTAGAAACCAGACACATCTAACAAGTAAATAATGGTAAAATGGGGTGAATAGGATTTGAGCGACGAAAAGGTACAGAAGAGGGGTTAATCGATACTATGAAGAATTTCCTTATATCTATTTACCCCCTCTTCTGTTCCTATTCACCTCTCGTTCCCTATTCACCCCATTTTATTGTACTTAAAGTCCACAAACATAATATTATTTTCTCGACCAATTAAAATCAGTACTTTGTTTACCACAATCTAATATGCTATGTAAATTGATACATTATAATTATTATGCATTACATGTAGGTACTATAGGTTAATATTATGTCAGAACAGTGCATGTTGTTGTTAGATGACGGCCGATCAAGGTCCAGTGGCCACAAGATGGAAGCAAATTATATTTATTAAGAGACTAGACATGTGGTAAACGAGACTATTATTTTATTAATAGACGACAATAGCATGCCATACTCTATTGATTGCTAGGTATTAAACTGTCAAACACGGCGCGGTCACCGGTGACCGCAACCTATTGTTCTTTAAATGTGTATATAATGACGGTACTCAACGAGTTAAAAAGTTTTATTGAAATAAGGTAAAATAGCACTCAATAGTATCATCAACCCAAACTTTTCAATGTCGTTTTTCTTCTTCAAAAATGGTTAAATTGATAAGTATTAATAATGTACAAGTACCTACTTTTAAATCCTTAGAATTTTTCTCGTTCTTTTCTTTGAGTAAATTGCGATATGATTCGAAGATCCTGTATTGAAAATGGGAAGGAAAAGAGATTCATAATCATAAAATTTCTTGCTTTACATATTATTACAATGAACAATAGACATGATTTTATAAAAGGGGGTCAATTAGATCTCATTCAAAATGTATGATTAGGCTTTGACTTCCTTGTCTAACGTGAGAAAATGAATAATGAACCCAAGATATCTGGAAACTTGGTATCTGTCGAGAAATAAACGTTACTACTACGACCAAGATGACAAGAAGCAGACTTGTGCAAATAATTTTATCATAGGAGCTTAAAGAATATAAATATTATCACGATATTATCAACTTTGGGTAACAACGTAGTTAGTTTATTTGAAAAGACTCTTATTCTTATTTGGATAAGGTCTCCATTCATTATGATTCTTTAACTTATCGGTAGGCCTATAGTTTTCACAGGTAGGTAGATAAAAAGGTGAATATAATACATTTTTCACAATACATTTACCGACAAGTATTGGTCTAGTGAACTTAATTGAACTTCAACAAAAATTAAATGGAGAAGCTGATTGTGCTGTTGGGAACACTATAGTCAAGAGATCGCGTGGGTGTTCCTAAATGAGCCTGACTGATCAAGTGAAAAGTGTGTCCTCAAAACTTCACGACTGTTAGAGACGCATTGGACAGAAACCGCTGGACTGGAAGTAGACCATCCGCTCCACAGGCAATTCTGATGCTAACCACGATCCTCACACACGAGGGAACGACTAGAGAGAGAGAGAGAAGGAAAAATGATAGAACTCCTTATAATTCAATTTATAGCGCTTTTTAGCGGATTGTTATCTATAGCTTTTATGTTTTTTAATTAAGTCGGTGCTATAAGCTCATGTCAATATCACATAACTTAATGGTCACAAAATTTTCAACAACTTAATAATTATTGGATATCTATTAAGGTTTTAATTAATAATTTTGTATATAACTTATGGCACCGACTTCTAACCTTCTAACCAAATCAGTGGGAAGGTAACATATGAGTAGGTCCTAATAATAGTTACTTTTTTGGTATTTAGTTTTTATTTTTGTTTGTATTTGAGTTTTTTGAAGTCGGTTTTTAAACGCAGTTTTTATTACCATCACCTATTGGCGCTTTTCGGGAACATTCCGTTTGCACCCTTACGTGTATAAAACATTTTTGTAATACCTTATCAATGCTCTATCTATCCACTTATCTATCCTCCTCCTGACATCCTTACTAATATTATAAATCGGAAAGTAAGTTTGTTTGTTTGTTTGTTCCACTTTCGCGCCGTAACTACTAAACCGATTGCTTTGAATTTTTGTAGACGTAAAGAAGAAGTCCGGATTAAATAATAGGGTACTTTTTATCCCGGAAAAATTTGATGTTCGAGAGGGAAAACAAAAGAATTGGTATAGATGGCGCTGTGTGTATTGGTGTATGTCCTGGTTTTATCCTTTTGTGACGCAACCGAAGCCGCGGGTAAAAGCTAGTTATGAATATGTAGAACAGCACAAATAAATAAGTAATTTACAATCGTTTATGTCATCAGTTGCAGTCGGTAAACTACACACAAGGCTGAGCGACGGCTAATTGAGCCAATAGACAATATTTACCATGGAGTCCGGAGTGCGTAGTCCGTATCCTTTGGTGGTTAGGTATCGAATAAGTGTGACGTATATCATTTTATTGGGTCCTATAGATATCTGTTTAGTGATCGATATGTAGAATTCGGAAGCGACTATATTTACATTAGTACTTTGTTACATTCAATACGTGCACCCCTGTTTGTCCCTACAGCCCGTAAAAGGCGTGATACTATGTAAATTACAATTATTCATAAATTAAAAGATTGGAAAATTATTAACGTAAACGTTATTAAAAAATCATGCAACATTTTAGGGCTTTGGTTTCCGTCAGCAAAATCTTCGGCCATATTTTTTTTTATTAATTTAATACCTATGTCTCACGATAGTTATTTTACATATTTGCGACTACAATGGCCAATAATAAACAAATCACCTAAATGCAGTGGAAACAAACTGTTACCTCGCAATGATTGTCATCGAAGGTCATCAATAAACGAGTCTGCTGTTCTTACATAAACCAGTGTTAAATATCAATTGAACTCATTTTATTGGTTTTCCAGTCTATGCAGATAGGTATAACATAGTACATTATACACTTCCGGACACCTAAATCGAACCACCTTGATTGTTTTGGTTTGGAGTACTGTGACTTGTAAAAAATCTATGTAGAAGGAAAATGTTTTGATGCAGTTTTAGTTATAGTTTTAGGCCCAAGAATGTAATGTGGCTCGATTCAAGTATCTGGAAGTGTATATGTACTTTTTTTAAGGGGGGAAAATCATCGAATGAGGTCTCCCACCTGCGTAAGGCGAGAGGGAGTGTCAGACTTTTACTGACTAAAAACCACCCCGTTCCTACTCCTGCACTTCGAGCCGGAGCCCCGGTAACCTGTCCACCAACGTTTATTTTATACAGATGTGTAGGGTTGCTGGTTATGAAATTAAAGCCCCAGTGTTCTTGATGATTTTTTTTTATTGGCAACTTCACTGTTACTTACTATAAACTAATCAAGATAGTTGCAACCCTAAGTGGAGGGATGAAAGGGACTGCGTGGCTATCGTCTTTCAGACCTCCCCTAGCTGGCTAATTCCAGAAGACCGCTAGGCTATGGAACTGAAGTTAGTCGTACTTAGGTTCAGAGAAGGCTGCTAGGCTACCGAACTCAGGTCCTCTAGCTAGTAGAATGATTTGTTCGAAGACAACTCTGCTTATAAAGGCGGATGGCTTGTAATTTGTATGCGTGCTCAATCTTCATAATAGTTGTTTGTAGTTGTGGTTGTTTCAATTAAATTATACTAGATGGCGCTGTGTGTTCGTTACAGAAGTTTTTATATAAAAAAAACTATCAAATGACTCCTTCCGCCCTTGGTGAGAAGAGAGGGAGTGTCTACTCTTACTGATTAAAAGTCATCCCGTTCCTTATCTTGCTCCCATATATGTAATAAAGAAGTTTTTACATAAAACTCTTGCTTTACTTTACTTAAACTCTTTTTAATTTTTCTGTTTTGAACTTTTCTGTTGTTCTGATCCCGAAGCTACGGGACTTTTAAGGTGATTTATTCGTGATCCCGCTAGATCCTATCCTAGTCCTAAATAAACTGCAGGGTCATATCTGTGGTAGCCACAGAATAACGACTACTAAGTACTAACGTAAATTTCGTGAGAATGAAGTCAAAGTCACAGTCGAAGGCACTTTTGAATGAGAACTTAATACTCCTCTACACTCTCTTTCTGCTGGTACCTATCATGTAAGGATGGGGAGGGGGGGGGGGAGGAGAGTTATCCGATTACCATACACTGGACGCAATTTTGAAACACCGTAATATTCCAGTGGAATACTCAAAAGGCCGAAAAAACATCCCGTACTAGAGGTATGGTGAATATACTGAGAAAAGCTCTACTAGTTTCGAACCACAGAGGGGTTCTTCCGCATGAGGAGCGTGCGCGGTCGCGGCGATGTTGCGCAGCTTAACCTAACCTAACGGGTAACCGGGGCTCCGGCTCGACGTGCAGGAAAAGGAACGGGGTGGTTTTTAGTCAGTAAGAGTCTGACACTCCCTTCCGCCTCACCCAGGCGGGAGCAGACATTCGATGATTTTCCCCCCTTAAAAAAAAATCCCTGTTTCACTGTATTTTTATTGGCTATTTTTTTTTTTATTTGATTTATGCTGCATCGTGTTTGGTGCATTTTTTCATTGTGTGTAATCCTAACGAGATACATAATTTAATTTGCGTTTGCCACTTTGGATGGTAACATTATACACACATATATATAGCAAAAATGTATAAAAGCGTCCTCTATATCGATTGTTGTGTTTGTGTCGATAACTTTACTGATAATACCGATAACGAGTAACCTCTTAACTTCGAGCTCAGTCGGCAGCTGTGCGCCTCAAGCGACGCACGTAGACGCAAGAATTTAAATCATTCGCCAAATTTTACGTCACTAAACGTGAGTTTCGTAATATATAGTATTTTTAGCTCATCTCTTTACAATCATATAACATACTGCAGTGTTTTTCCTTAAACTGTCAAACACCAAGCGGTCACCGGTGACCGCGACCTATTGTTCTTTAATAATTGTGTCTATAAAACCGGTACTCGACGAGTTAACCATGGCCGACACCGACTTTTGGCATCTTTTTTTTTCTAATAAGCGAATTGGTTGCAATGGAATTTTTATTGCAATATTTAAATTGTTTATTTTTTTTTGGTTTTATTCTGTTTTCAAAAATGATGATAGAATTGGTTTGTTCATACGTTTGTTCATTTTATAAGGTTGTCGTGGCATTGTTGTTGATTGAGGAAATGCGTTATGTATTTATAGCACTCCATAGTAAACCGAGGATTATTTTCCACGACATCAATCTCGAACAATCATCAATCATTTTCTACGTAGCGTCTATAAATAACTTTGTTTATTAATGATATTTTATGTAAAACATGACAAACTTTAGGTTTGAACTTCAAGCTGTTTATTTACGCTTATTTACTGGTAGGTTACGTTAATATAATATCTGGACTGATCTGAATTCCCCAATTGGAATTGTAAAAGTGCATGTATCTATTTTTCAAAGTCAAAGTCAAAATCATTTATTTCAATTAGACTAGAAAGGCACTTTTTAACGTCAACAACAAAAATTTAGAAGTGAAGCTAGTTGCTCATACCAAGGCGTAGATTCCTATGGAGAAGAACGAGCAAAAAACTGCATAGGTTACTCTTTTTCAATCAGATTCACAATACAATTCTCTAGTTACATAGTTTTATTGGTTCGATTGATGAACAATTACTATTTGAGTCCCATATTTTATACTAGCTACTTCCGCGCGGTTTCACTCGCTCTGCTCGGCGCCTATTAATCGTAGCGTGATATTTTATAGCCTATAGCCTTTATCGATAAATGGGCTATCTAACACAGAAAGAATTTTTCAAATTGTTCTAGTAGTTTCGGAGATTAGCGCGTACAAACAAACAAACAAACAAAAAAACAAACTCTTCAGCTTTATAATATTAGTATAGATTACTAGCGAACTTACATTCATCAGGCAGCATTGTGTCCTCTGCGTGACAGTCGCCGCGATTGTGTGTCGCGAAATTCTGCTCATTAATATGAGCCCCCAGCATGGCTGGAAACTAGTCGAGTTCTTCGAGGGGAACTAACTAACTAACTGGTGGAAACTAATAATTAGCTTATCTCATGAAGGTTATAATATAAAAATATGTTATACTTACTTTTTAATTTTCGCTACAGTCAACAATACTTAATTTATTCGTTGTTTATCATACTATTGCTTGTCAATCATACAAAATATGTTGCCCTTCATATATTTGGGGTCGACAAATTATATATTTTTCTATCCGTTATCAACTGTTATCTCATAGTTTAGCATTGGCAACATCTTAAACTTTATTTATCTTCAAATTTAACGTAGGTACGTATATTAATGAATAACAAGTAATAACAAGCTCAAGTAACTTCATCGACAGTCAGAAATTTGAAGTAAATCCATGCAGTACTATTGGTTATCATCCCGGACATACATACAGACAGAAATTCCAAAAACCATATTTTCACAAATCGATCTGATATTTGGTACACACTCTTAACCGGAATGCACACCCTCAAACACCCCAATTAGAATATTATGTTATAATCATAATACATACACTAAATTTTTAATTTAACATGTATATGCATCCTTACTGGTTTTGTCATAAGGTTTATTTTTCTTTATTTTGTATTGAATGATAGAATTTGTATGAATACAAATAAAACTGCGATTTTAAAAGTCTTATTGCTTTGACTTGAGTTATGGTCCATTTCGATTTGTTTTAACAATACAGGGTTAATATGACAATAATTATTAATTATTTTTGGGATAAAAAATTACCTATACTAAAAATTATATAAATCGATTCAGTTAACGATTCTGAACAAACTATTTTCAGGATGTGCGTTATTTAAGTTACATGTTGTATAAAATAAAGAGATCAAAGAGATTCCAGAAACCTATGAGACGTCAAGACGGTATTGAAATAAGACAATATTTAATTATCGTTTTTTTTGTTACAGTAAGCGAAATCATGAAGATCGGATTCATTGGCGGCGGCAGGCTGGCCTTCGCCCTGGCCAACGGGTTTATCTCAGCTGGTAAATATTGTTTCATACATACATACGTAACTACATACATAATGTAACTTCACGCCTTTTATCTCCGAAGAGGTAGAGAGAGGTGCACATTACGGCACTTAATGCCGCTGTAATAAATGTTGTTAAAAAAAGGGAAAAAAAATTGAGTAGATATTCGAAAAATCGTCCATATCTAGTAGTCAGCAGTCGCACCTAAAAACCACTCAACTACTGAGATACCCACACTCAATTCAGTAACTATATAATTATATAATTAAACAACATGTTAACTAAACTATTAATATGTACCTATTGTAAAAGACAATTACGCCGGCTCTAAGGATTTATGTATTGTGACGTCATATGCTTGTTTATAGGTATATATAAGTAGGTACCTACTACTCCATCTTGGGTAAAGTTATGAAGGAAATGTAACCAGTAACGGAGTCGCGGAGAACCTAACGGGTTACCGGGGCTCCGGCTCGACGTGTAGGAGAAGGAACGGGGTGGTTTTTAGTCAGTGAGTCTGACACTCCCTCCCGCCTCACCCAGACGGGAGCAATCGTTCGATGATTTTCCCCCCTTAAAAAAAACCAGTAACAGTTTTTTTAAGGGGGGAAAATCATCGAATGACTGCTCCCGCCCGGATCACCCCCTATTAATAGTGAAAAAGTGGGTATTATATTGTATAGTGGCAATAAGTGCCGTAATGTGCGCCTCTGCCTACCAATTGGTATAAAAGTCGTGATGTTATGTTATGATACTAGAGATAGTTTAAATCTGGTAAGTATAAGAGATGCAAACTTAATAGATTTTTATTTCGATAAAAATCTATTAAGTTTGCATAATATAATTTCTATTTCGATGTCTATACACAGAAATAAATCTGCTGTTAAACATTTTGTTTGTTTTCAAAAATTTCGATTCTCAATCTTCGATTTTCAAAAGATTCCAAATTAGTTTGCACGAATCGTTTCGCACTGCAACGTGTTCAGTTTATTTTTAATTTAGTCAGGCACGGATCGTGACTGTATTCTTCTTCGCTCTATTAATTTAATTATCGACATAATGTCAAAAACTTGATCAACTTGACACATGCATCGTTGTAGTTGAAAGACAATAAAGATACAGTCACAGATTAAATACTGTAAAAATGTTTATCAATGGGGAAAACCTGAAAAATGTTTCATTATTTAAAGTTTTTATTATGCGTAGTTTTGCAATATAAAAAAATATATAATTTGTATTTATAACTTTCGTGAGACATACTAAAAAAATATTATGTTTTCTGCTTACTCACGTAATTATTTGACGAGGAACTAAGCTGAAAATATAATAAAAAATATACGCTCGTCACTATCATGTATCGACAAATAATACCATCACTTTGAACACATATAAATATGATAAAGTACTGCAAGGCTAACCCGTTGAAATTCATCCCCTAAATTCGTTCATACAAAAGTAGTCTCTAAAAATTGGAAATAAGGTCTATAATAATGTAGTTAGTGGAGAACAGTCACCGGTGACCGCTGGGGGGCTGAATGGGGCTCAACACGGTTGATGCCGATACGGAGCTGCGGAGGACTGAACGAGTTGCCGGGGCTCCGGCTCGAAGGGTAGGAGTGGGAACGGGGTAGTTTTTAGTCAGTAAGAGTCTGACACTCCCTCCCGCCTCACCCAGGCGAGAGCAGTCATACGATGATTTTCCCCCCTCGTGTTGGCATTCTACAAAAGTTAGGACCTTCGTGACTCGCATAGTGTATTGTTATCTATTTTTGTATTTATAGGTTTAGTCACTGCAGCTTTGGTTAATGATTTATATATTTTTGACAAACTTTCTTCAGGTTTGGCAAAACCCGATGAGATCACAGCAAGCGTCCATCCTGCCGATGTCGTCAGTGCTGAAGCATTTAAGGTAAACCTTTTAAAAACAACTATGTACATAAAGCATCGAAAAATTCGTCCACATCGACGTCAGTGGGGAAAGTACCCAGAAGGCTAGCGGCATTGCCACGTTGTATGGCAATGCTTAACCTCTGACCGAGAAAAAGACCAGCCCTCTGGTCACGAGATGTGTCAACCAGGCGTTTCGAAATATTTTTGAATAATTTAAGCGCACTCGGACTCCACGGACCTAGCGTCTCAACTTGTGTTAATTGTGTATGAATAGAAACGTAGCTATTAGCGGTTTTTATTTTTTATTTCTTGATAAATATTTTCTGATACAAGTGTTTTATTGATTGGTAACGTAACGTAACGCTGAGAATACCTGGCCAAGGAAAGCCAGAGACAGGGAAGTGTGGAAACAGCTGGAAGAGGCCTATGTGTCACAGGACACGCTGATCACTAAACCGAAACTGATGTGTTAGTTTATAAGTTAGTTTAATTATTACTTTTGTTATTTTAGTTTAGTTCAGCAATAAAGGCTTATTATTATTATTATAACGTAACTTAGTCTCTGCCTACCCCCATGGGAGACAGGCGTGAAGTTATGTATGTATGTATGTATAACGTAACGCATGTCGTATAAATAGTAATTTAGTTACCTACCGTAAAAATGAGAGCATTTTGCTGTAAACGGAATTTTTTTAGTATTAGAGGGTTCGATAAAATAAAATGAAAAAGAAACGGTAATGGCTCCATTTATTTGCTCCCAAGTGTACTTCTAAAAATAGAAATAGATAGGGTTATCTTTCTCTAGTACTATTATAAATTCCTGTAGGTACTTAACATCGTTTGTAAATAAAGCACTCATCGTTGATAACTATCTTTCCTTAAACTGTCAAACACCACGAGGACACCGGTGACCGCAACCTATTGTTCTTTAATTGTGTCTATAATGACGGTACTGAAAGAGTTAAATCCTAGTAATTATCTTTAGGCACTAAATGCCTAAGCTCGAGGATAGTCCAGTTGATCGAGTGGTCGGCGACTAATGCGAGTGCGACTGTTGATGAAGAGGTCTTTATTCGAACAGGGATTCAAACCCACTTGACTTATGAGCCAGTCATTACGTACATGTTTCTAAATCTAAAGGCACGATTTTATCCTACATTGCAAAGTTATAATCGTCATGTACCTACGATAAGTTTGGAGAACTGACGGCCGCTGGGCTAGAATGGTTCTTAAGTGGAAACCACGTACCGGCGAGCGTAGCGTAGGACGTCCACCCACAAGGTAGACAGATGATCCTGATTAAGCTCGCAGGGAGCTGCTGGGTGCAGGTCGCTTCCTACCCGGCATATCTGGAAGTCATTGGGGGAGGCCTATGTTCAGCAGTGGACGTCTTATGGCTGATATGAGGATGGCATGGAACCAAGACATTCATGTCCCTGGGACGCGCCGGACTTCAGTGTCCCGGTGTTTTCATGGTTGTATCTACTGTAGGTCCTAGCCTACAGGAGTTCCAGCGGTTTAGGGAGGACGTGGCGGGCTTGTCCCATTAAAAAAAACTCAAATGAGGATGATGATAAATCCTTTCATATTTCTTTTATTTCTTCGTCGTTCATTAATCTAATCAAAACACACCTGTTCACGCTTATTTGGATTTGCCCCTAAAATTATGGTGAAAACATGACGACATCCATAATCTTAATGATGTACAAACATAATAACATACTCAGGTTAAACTGTAACTCATTGTGACGTCACTTGACCTTGACTTTGTGCTATAGTTTTTGAGATAAAAACGTCGTTGACTCTTTGTTACAACGTTTTCTCTGTTTAAATATCATTTATAATGATGTTGTTATGATTTCTGTTCGAAAGAAGTTTTTATATGGAGTTTTGGATTCGGTTGATTGAATTTTTTTGTACAGGCTCGCTATTTTGGGTGAATGATAGAGCTCCTCGGTCTTCTGTTCTTCTCGTCCTTGAATCATAAAACTGTCTTTTTCTAAAGTGTCGCCTCGATGTGCAATAGATTGGCGATGTATTAAAGAAGGGCCAAATTAAAAGTACCCTTAACCGACGAGCATGCATGAAAAGAGTGATGACTGTTAATGAAGCGAAAGAGGTATGTAAGAATCGTATTAATTGGCGTTCCTAAGTCTCTGCCTACTCCCATGGGAGACAGGCGTGAAGTTATGTATGTATGTAACACGCGGTTCTAGGTATTCTGTTATCATCTGTATTCTGTATCATAGACGTTCGCTTTTTCTGTTGCCAGTGAAATTACATTACCTGTTGTAGATTTCGGACCCATTAGGTACTTTTTTGATCGGGAAAAATCATCTTATGACTTCTTCCACTTTGGGTGAGGCGAGACGAAGTGTCAAACTCTTACTAACTAAAAATCACCCTGTTTGGAACAGAGTGGTTTTTAGTTGAGCAGGTGTACCTACGTCTGCTCTTCGAGTCGGAGCCCTGGCAACCCGTTATATTTCCGCAGCTCCGTATCGGGCATCTATCTATTATCTGTAACCCATTAGCTACTAAAATTTGTTCTATATTCAAATCTCCAATTTTTATCTCCAGAAACTGGGTGCCACAGCAGTGTTCGAGAACAAGCCAGTGGTGGAAAGATCCGAGGTTGTGATCGTGTCTGTAAAACCTGACGTGGTGGTGCCGGTTCTGAAGGAAGTCAAGGACCTCCAGGCTTCAAAGAACAAGCTGTTCATCTCTGTCGCTATGGGAGTCACTACTGCTGCTATTGAGAAGGTAATAAAGTTCATTTGTTTAATTCCTACTTGAAAGTTGACGAAATAAGATGAGACAACATTTAAGTAATAGCGCATATAATATTTTCGTAGTAAGAATTATTTATTAATTATTATCCAATAAAGAATATCCAATACACAAGCACCAGAATCTACATAATATATTTTCTTCTATATAAAAATAAATTGCTGTTCGTTATTCTCGAGAACGGCTGGACAGATTTCGCTAATTTTGGTCTTGAATGACTTGTGGTAGTCCAGGGTAGGTTTAAAAGGTTAGAAAAAGAAATAGAGGCAAGCAAATGTTTGCGGGGTCAGTTACTTATAAAATTTTAATAATTTTTATGCAGCAATACTTATGTATCTCTCTTTTTCATCCATTTTCAGGTGCTACCAACAGAAGCTCGTGTGATCAGAGTGATGCCGAACACGCCAGCATTGGTTCAGCATGGAGCTGCCGCCCTCAGCCGAGGTACTCGCGCCACCGCTGATGATGCCAAGCTTACCACACAGCTGTTCCAAGCTGTGGGCACATGTGATGAGGTGCCAGAGTATCAGATGGATGCTGTCACCGCTTTGAGTGGTAGTGGACCTGCCTATGTAAGTATTGAGTTGATGAAGAATATTTTATTTATTGATTTATTTATTAACACTTCTGTATATTAAACAAACGACTAACGGACTTAATGCCAGGTGGCATTATCTAACAGTCAACCATGGGGTGATGCAGAGATGTGCAATAATAGGTGTAATAGGTATTATGGCTTAATTTATGTGACACAAAAATCTATATAAATAAATTCATTATAATGCATAACTGTAAATACATATATACGTATATATGTATATAATATTAATATCTATTATTTTGGTTTTAGCTGGCTAGTTGGTAAATAGAGTGACAGACAGATATGTAGGTATTGCACATAACATCGCGTCTCTTTTTTATTGTAGGTATACCTATATGACTATACTTTGAATTGCTGCAAAAACCGATTTTAATGTCACGTGTAGCTTAAATTTCATGTTCCCTTCCACCTTTTCGTAACCCTTTCATAATTGGGTTATTACGGAAGGGCTAACAATAAAATTCTCGCAACTACGTTGAGTATACTGTGTAAACAGCCTTAGACATGACAGTGGCAAGCAAACCTTACCTTCTTCTCACCAATTTTAAAAACAAAATCTATCTTCCAGATCTACATGATGATCGAGTCTCTAGCTGACGGCGGTGTGCGTTGCGGTCTACCTCGAGACCTCGCCCTCCGCCTGGCAGCACAGACGGCTCTCGGATCAGCAGCCATGGTGAAGACTGGCACCCACCCTGCAGTACTCAAGGATAATGTCACTAGCCCTGCGGGGTCTACCGCTGATGGAACTTATCATTTGGAGAAGAATGGTTAGTGTGATAAAAATTGAGATTTAGTAGTATTTTTAATAGAAAAGTGGGCAAACTAGTTAGTAGGCTAATTAGAAAGAAAGGAAGAAATTAGTGATTAGCTCATGGACATCCGCAACACCAGAGAAATTACAATAGTCTTCTTTATTCAGGTAGGTATAGTTTGTCCAAATAATCTTCTTCTTAGTCTTACCCTTATTCTAAGCTACTACTTGGGATCATCTTGGTGTCATCCTATCAGATAGGTACCATGCTATAACAAATTTGATAAAAAAAGAAAATACTTAAGACTTTGACTGCCAATAAAAACTGTTGAAGGTAAATCCTCCGCTAACGCCGGTCACCGGTGACCATGACCATGGCGTTTAACGTGTTAATGAATCTAAAATAATTTCTGCTATCTTTCCAGGGTTCCGTTCAGCTGTCATCGGTGCTGTGGCGGCAGCGGCGGAGAGATGTAAAGTGGTCAACAGCCAGCTCAACAACACGCCCTAGTGTTCGCAGCTTATTCTAATGTAATTAGATACAAAAACATAATACTATTTTAAGAGTACAACGAATATTATTTTCGTAAAATAAATAATTTCCAATATTTATTTGGTGTTTACTTTCGATTGTTGCCATATCTAGCTACTTAAGTAGGTACCTACCTATTTATTAGGATGGACCATAATGGTTATAGATAGATGCTTACTCAAATAGCGTTTAGTCTATATGTATATTGTCTATTTTTTCCATACTTAACTAGTTACTTTTTGTTTTATTCTGCGCTATGCACTTATTCCGATGGGACTGTATGGTCGTTTGCCAAAGATAAAAATTATTGCAATAGCGTCATCTAGTTTATTAAATAAGCACTATTACCATAGACAATTGGGTCTTTCATAATACCCCATCAAACTGATATGTATATGTGTTACACAGATGGCGCTAGTAACAATCTTCATTTGACAGAACATTACATTTTATTATCTGTGTAAAGTTAAAAACGAGTTTATTGTCTTCCGTTTTTGTTCCCAACGGCTCCGCCAGTGAATAAAATAAAATGAAACGTCACTCTCTAAACGGAGAGGACTGAATTGAATTAAATTGCATTCAGGCTGAACGTGAATTTGCGACCTTGTGCCGCCTCAGCCAATCGCCTTGTGATCTGTTGTTACGGCCGGTGCTTCTGTTTACATCTTATCAACCGATTACACAGTGTAAATCAGTCTTAGGAACGCCGCGGTTGTCGGCGTATGCTTATTAGAACTACAAAAATAGAATGCAAACGTCGTGTTGTGATGTGAAGGCTCCGTGGATTCGGTGCGAGTTGAGCTGACCTTCCATCTGAGTAAAGACATCGACCCACGCTGACTAATAAAGAGACTCCTACGCGGCTCGGCCACCGATACGAACTGCGTCGTCTAAACAATACAATGAGCGAAATTATGAGAAATACTAACACTGTCGTGTTGCAAACTTAAGCTGTGGACGTTTAAAAATAAGTTAAAAGTGATTGTTTCGTAAAAATCTGTGCGAATCGTTCGTCTGCGTGAGTCAATCTGAAGGCGTGCGAATTGTGTTTGCTATCAAAACTACCGAATTCCGTCAACAGCCAAGGCTACTGTATACAAGGGTACAGAAACTTGATGATCTTCAACTGTGCAAACTGGTGCGTATTGCGTATTCTTATTCAATTATTCATATTCGAATCTGATTGGATTTCCATCATTTTTTTAAATCTACTAAGAAACACTGATTCTTTTCTCTTTCATTTAATTTTTTTGTTGATAAAGATAAGTATGCAATACCTGTGTTATTGATGGTATAGATACACAGTGTTTCTGCTAAATTTTTAGCTTATACATCCCCAAAATGTGTTTTTTATAAAATGCAGCTAAAGCCAACATTCTTAAAATTTCCAATGTGTTTACTATTACAATACAAATCAAACTGGTTTTCAATTCATTTGAGACATTTATTCTTGACCTCTTCTATCAATTTCCATCATTCACATTTCAATATGTAAACTTATTTGTATCTACTTAAATTACTTAGCTTTGATGACCTTGGTTAGTTCAAGTTTTAATTGTGGCTGAATGTATTATTATCATTGCCAAGAATATACTATCAGAAGATAATATACCTAACTGTTCTTTTTTTATTAATTTGAACTCATTTGTAATTTTGATAGTGGAATATTTTTAGTATAGAAATATTTTGTAGGCTAATGTTTATTTGCAAAGAACCACTGAATGAGAAAGTATATATATTCATATAAGTATTATCTTTTTAATTTTATTTTCATAATAGATTACTGAAAAAACAAGAATTTAATGACAAAAAAAATTATACTATTATCATCAGCCTGTATTTAGTAATAAAGTAGAAAAGCTAACACAATTAATAAGTACCTACATAATAAGAATTTTAACAGTCAGACAAGCGGGCTTAGAGTTTAAACTGAATCAATTTACTGCCAGGAAACATTATTATACAACTGACCAATTGATTAGTAATTAGCTGATTGGATAACTTTCTAACCAATGGGCATTTAAGGAAAGTTAGTTAGATTCCAATTGGAAATAAGTACTACAAATAGTGTTCCAATTACCATTCTATTTTACTTTATAGGAAGCAATGTGTACTAGTAAGTTTGATATGACTTGATAATAATTTGTATCTTTTATCGTAAGTAAATAATTTATGTAGCAAGAATGGTCACAATGTTAGAGAAAATTTTAAATTGGAAAGCCTTTTTTTAAGAGGTTAAAATTGTCCGATGACTTCTCCCACGCCAGGCGAGAGAGAATGTCAAACTCTTATTGTCTAAAAACCACCCCATTCCTACTTCTACTTCGAGCCAGAGCCCCCCCTATCCCGTTACGTTATCCGCAGCTCTGAAATTGGGAAACCCTTTACAATTCTTGTAACTTGTATATTGGTCTAAAAAATACACCACCAGATATATTATGTTGCTATCACTTATAGAAAATATTGACTAAAAGTTCAATTTTATTAATTTTGAACTAAGAAAATACAGCCATATTAGTTAATACCGAAGGAATAAAATATACCATCTCATTTACGACGCCGGTGCCTCAATACTAAGGAATAGTTATTGTTTATTACATACTCAACATAAGAACAGAGTTCCATTATATATCTCAGCAATAACTTAGTATTGAAGTATTAGTACATAAAACATGATGAGTAATAACTATGTTTGGTCTTAAGTCAGCTCTAAAATTAAAAGAATCTTCATTTCTTAGTAGTAGGTATTCTGTGGTAATTGTGGCATGCACCTTGTTGCAATGATTGCATAATGGTTTATTTTTGTTTGTTATGTTTTTTTTTGGTCTTAGTATTGAGTTTTATTGCAGCATACTTGCATTCATATATTGTCTTCTTCCTGCCTTTATCCTTAATTCCTTGAGGTAGGCCCTTTAGTTCATTATCTAGTCTATATGAAGCTGTATGATTTATTTTTCGACTTTCCTTTATCAGATGCCGAAAAAATAATGACCTATTATTATCTAGGCAAATTTAGTATGATTAGTAGTCATTTTAAGGTTTTTATATAATTATCTTGACTAGTTATGACGGCTACGTCTTTCATCAAATGATCTGTTCCGATTTTCGGAATGATTTCCATACATAGCCCACGTAACAGCTGACACATCCTTGACAAAAATCTAGTTTCAATTGAATCTTAATTCCTAAATCATAAAGACTACTTTCCATCAAATCTAATTGTATCTTTACACATATAAATTGTTTTGTACTATCGATAAAGTTGGTGGCCGACCGTCATTAGGCGATATTCGTATCATTTGAATGCACTCGGCGCCAGGCAGCGGCCACAGGAATAACAGGGAGGTGGATAGCAAGTTAGCCACATGATTTTGTTTAAAAAGTGTACTACTATAAACTTGGCGATCGTACCTAGATATCGTTGTTAACTTATTTAATGACTAGCTACTTCCGCGCGGTTTCATACGCTCTGCTCAGCTCCTATTGGTCGTAGTGTGATGTTTTATAGCCTTTAGCCATCCTCGATAAATGCGCTATCAAACACAAAAATAATTATTCAAATCAGACTTGTAGTTACGGAGACAAACAAAAAAAACAAACTCTTCTGCTTTATGTAATAGTATAAGATGTATTTCTTTGTTGCAGAATGCATTACGGCAACTGTTCAAAAATGGCGGCAATACGTTTAAGCGTCCAATAGAGAAGGCATGTTCTAGCTGGGGTGTGCGAAAACTGTCAAAATAAGGAAGTCAGCAGGGCTGCTGTGTTACAAAGTGAGGATGGATGAAAGTGACGTCATCATATCATCCACGGAGATCATAAAAGGTTTGTCGAATAATTTATTTAAAACCTACCTAATTTCTAGGCTCTTTTTATTTAGGAACGGTAATCGTTTTGATTCCGAAATACTACTTTCGATGTTTATTCTCATGTAAGTTACATAGCTAAAATTGAATTCAGAAAGTTGGTATGAAGCAATTTTTCGACTGTACCTAATAACATATAGAATAATTGCGGTCGAAAAATGTCCCATCCTGTGGGAAAAGACGGTATGTCGTATAATCCAGTGACACGTCAAAAAATTGTACCAGGTATAATAGGTATTAGGTACAAAAAGTTTTGTTAATTAAACCAGTGGTAGCTTAGTGTGAGAGGTATTGTCGCGAGCCGACTCCCACTTGACTCATTTAAATAATTGAATAATAAATATTATTTGATACTTTTCGCTACCAAAAACAGCTGGGCCGACCATCTGTTCGAAGACAGTAGTTATCCAAGTGAATTCTCGTGTTTTGTAGGTGTTTGTAAGATATAACGTAATGTAATCTGTCTTTGAAGAGTCTCACTCTACGATATTACCGATTTTTACAAAGAAAACATTCATTCAAACAACTTCATTATTTTCGAGAAAGGGTAGACAAAGATGCACATATTCGAAAATCTTCTGATGACTTCTCCCGCCTTGGGTTAGGTGAGACGAAGTATTGAACTCTTACTGACTAAAACCACCCTGTTCTCTCTCCTGCCTCGAGCCGCAGCTCTGGTAACTCGTTGGGCCGTTCGCGGGCCCGGGAGCCACATTCCATATTCATCAGTTTTGTTATGACTGTGATTACCATGTACCTGAGCCCAGGTATGACACAAGACACTCCAGGTTATCTACATACTACATTTTGCTAGTCTCTCCGCTGTTACTACACATTCGCAAAACTGCCCTGAATTAAATCCGTTACACTTTTACCGCAATTGCGATCATTTGATCCTCGGTAGTCCTAATGTCCTTGGCAATCCCAAATAGTCGTTAATATTTCGCTAAACAAATACCCAAGTGTTTATAGTATCAAGTGCCCAAGGCATAAATAGCCACGCCACGAATCCTCCCTAGAAACTAAATACTGTTACACTATTTTCGCTCTTAACAGTACATTAAGACGCATTATCCGTAAGTCACAATTTCGCTTGTGGAAATTGCCAGGGTCGTTCACAAGGACATTCGCTGACCTTATAGCATATTAGCTAAGTCCTTCTAAAGATTGGGTGGGTGGTTCTTACAGGAATATTAACCTTTTGGTTTTGGGCGTTTCTTATTATTTCTATTTCTTATCTCCTTACGAAATTGTAGCTAAATAGGTAATTAAGTATCTGTGAGACATCGATCAATATATTTGGTATTTTAATGTTTGAATCAAACTTTGTGTTAGATTCATATGCTCCGGCCATGGCCATCTGGCGCTGCTGTTGATGCTGATAGATAACTTTTATTAATTCTTTACATTAGGCGTCTAAAACCTCCGCGGCTCCGTATTAAGAGTTACTTAATCTGTCAAACACCAAGCGGTCACCGGTGACCGCGACCTATTGTTCTTTAATTGTGTCTATAAAACCGGTACTCGACGAGTTAATACGGAGCCGCGGAGAACTTAACAGGTTACCGGGGCTCCGGCTAGAAGTTCAGGAGTGATTTTTAGTCAGTAAGAGTCTGACACTCCCTCCCGCCTCACCCAGACGAGAGAAGTCATTCGATAATTTCCCCCCCTTAAAAAGGCGGTTTAATATTACGACTGCTCTACATATCACATTCAATTACAAAACAGCCGTTCAACTGAAAACACTTATTGTTTATAAATAAAAAATATGCTTTCTAATGGCAATTTGATACCCACCTAATTAATGTTTATGTTACAAAGAAGCCGGTAACCGTTCAAACGAAGCGATAGAGAACAAATCTGCAGACTATACAATCTGAGAAAACACTACAGAGTTACAGACTCATAATAAACCAACAGAGCTTCCTTTCATGCAGTTTTTATAAACATTAAACATATTTTTAAATAACTCTTTAGTTGTATATGCACCCGCCTTAGATAACGTATCGTAGGATAAGAAATGAGTACTTATTAAAATATGAACTGATAATACGGACATGGCTAATCCGTCTTACGAACGAGTGGAAACAATGCTGATAATGCATATTCAGTATCGGTCAGGTTATTAACCGAGGTTGCCGTTTCCTTGACGCTCAAATACGCCATGTTTAGACGTCTAAAACCAAGAGTATCTAAGGCCTTTATAATACTAGTGAATTGAATTGCTCGTTTGAAGGAAAATTGTTTGTTTGTAATGTGAAAAGTGTTCAAAAATGGTCTTCTTTCTGCCTCTTTGTAATACGGATGCTAGCAAATTTAAAATTTGCCAGTTTACTATCATCAAAGGTAAGCTGTATGCAGTACATTTTAGCAACTATTGATATGTATTTAGTGCTTGTAAAGGCTATAAAGAGCATTCTGATTTCCGGAGGGTTTTAATTAATAAACTGATGTTTACAGGTGATCTAACATTAGTTATTTAAAATGGCAAATTCGTCATCTCTTTATGAATGAACATCAAAACTAATGCCGTTTAGCCGGAAGGCGTCAAGCTTATTTTTTCATTGGAGGTCGATCGACGACGACTGTCAATGTCATTGTCAGTCGAGCGTTTACGAATTATGGACTTTTGAAAGTTTTTGTGCGAATTTTTGTACCAGTTAAGTACCTACCCCTAAAATCCATTTATTTGAATAGACCCCTTACTAGGTCTTCTTGCCTCAAACTCTTGAACATTTTTGTCATATTTACTCTCCTGCAGCGAAGCATAAAGAACGATGTAACCATTATTTTCTCTGATATGAAAGAAATATCCACAAATTCCCTTGCAAACGGCAAACTACCCTTAAAGACTTCATCTTTGATGAACCTCTTACGCGTTTATGAACTTAGTCTTAAACATTTGTATCACTTAAGCTTATTACTTATCGAAGTACATAGCTAAGTGTAGTGGGCGGAACGATTGGCCAGAATGACGTCGTCACGAGTTATTGCACATTACTTGTGATGATGCCGGCTCCGTCAAGTCTGACCTTCGCTGGTGATTAACCAGTTGTTTTACTACGTTTAAAAACTGGTCACTAATATGTTTCTATTGTTTTTGCGATGTAAACAAACGTTGATACTTATGTTTTTGTGCAATAAAACTACATAATACTACGTCTCAGGAAGCTCGAACTGCGATTCAGCCAAAGTATTATTGAGGCCGTCGCATCGCAAAAATGTGCGAACTCCCTCTACGCACCGCAAGAACTTACGAATTGATTCGCATCGCGCATCAAATTTGTTTCTTTTTCCTGTATCTCCTAAGAAATAACAAAAGTGCACACTTCTGTTTACGATCTATGTCACGACCTAGATTTCAATTTAAAATACGTTAAATACGGTTGACGATCGTCGAAGGAATGGTCCGCCTGGTCACACGAAATCGCATCGCAGCAATTCGAGTCATAATTTTCTGCGTTGATTTAATTATGATTATATAGTTATACGTAATATTTGTGTAGGTTAAACTGTATGTAATATAATGTAATTGAATACAATAAGCTACCAGCACTGGTAAATTACATCTGCCTTGTTATTGGAGGAACACCAGGTGTTTTGTAAAACGTGGAATTGTCCTCGATTTCCTCCAGGAGCTTTTTACTCCAATTAAACCCACGATATCAGGTTTTATGTTTTCTGTATGCAACCTGATCCCATAGCTTTTAGCGAGTGGTGTCCTGACTAACTTGTCAAATTATTGGATGGTACTTTCTTCTCGCATTTACCCTTTTTAAAAGGATATATCTGTTTACATATACGTACTTAATTATAATGAATGGAAGGTGTTTTACTTAAAAAAACAAACATTGTGTTTATCAGCGATAAAAAGTAATTTAAATACGACTCGATCATTCCCTATCTTTTATAATCTCTCAGTTATCTAAACTGACACATATTAATATTTATGTTTAATGTTTCGTGCAAAAATGTATCGCGTACTTAGTCTTATTAACACAAATTAGACTGCGGCAATGCAGACTTCACTATTGTGACGTCACTTCCTTTTTGACACATTTTCATTACCGTTTATTTTTAAATTGATTTATCTAAAAGATCATAAATAAAAACAAAAGACCCTAAACTTCAAAAAATCCAAGTTATCAAAATTATGATCAAGCAATATTGCAACCTTGGGAAATGCCCCAAACTTAGATTTTAGCCTTCAGAAAGCAAGGATTCTTGATAAAAATCTTGAAAAATTCAACCTTAGAGAGCACTGTTTGATTGGAATTAATTAATTTAGTACGTACTCGTGGTTTTACAGCTTTTCCTGGTATTTTTTTATATGCTTAGTATGCCTGGTCGAATTGAAATAAATGAATTTGACTTTGATATCAAAGAAATTTATGAAGATTCATTTGTGCGTTGTCGTGTCTTGTCGGTTCACACCTGGCAGCACCGTTCTGAACCATGTAAACTGGTCTTCAACCCGCTTGCTATGCGTGGAGATGGCAAATCTTCTAATGTGCAGAAGATCCATAGTCCACCAGTTATCCTCCTGGCGCTATTGATGATGAAAAGTCAGTTGACTGTTAAATTACTAAACCTGAAATGCAGTTGAACTAGCAGCTGTTACTTAGCCACAGACACGTCAACATTTAGTGTACATAATGTTTTAGAACTACCGTTAATAAATAAGTGTTGTAATAATTAATTGAACACGCGTTTTCGAATAGTTAATAAAGTAGTTAACCATGTTTGTTAATACCGGTGCTTAACTAGTTAAATTGGTCAGAACTCATTGGTAAAAAAAATACTTTAGAGTTTTTTTTTGTTTTAAAAAAAAAACGTTGCCCCACACTAGGATTTTCTCCTGTGTCGTGGGTGCGTTTACAAACATACAAGTTTACATACACATGACAACCAGACCCGAAACAACAATTTGTGGATCACACAAAGTGTTGTTCCGTGCGG